TCTTTTCTTTTTTTTGTTCATATTTCTCTTCTTCCTCTACTCTATCTTCCAGATTGCTGATCTATCCTTCTGCATCCTCTAATATGCTGTGATTCCCTCTAGTATGTTTTCCTTTCAGTTATTGTAGTCTTCAGTTCTGATTGGTTCTTTTTTATATTTTTGATCTCTTTTTTGAAGTTCTCAGTGAGTTTCATCCATTTTCTCCTGATTGCAGTCATCTTTATGACTATTTCTTTGAACTCTTTATATGGTAAATTGCTTATTTCCATTCTGTTTAGTTCTTTTTCTGAACTTTTGTCCTGTTCTTTTGTTTGGAAGGTATTCCATTGTCTCTTCATTTTGCCTAACTCTCTTTTTGTTTCTACCTATTATGCATATCAGCCACATCTTCCGGTCTTAAAAGAGTTACCTATGTACAAAGTACCCTGTGGGGCCCAGTGGTACAACCCTCTCTGGTCACCAGAACCAGGTGCTCTAGGGTCGTTCACTGGGTGGGCTGTGTGCACCCTCCTGTTGTGATTGAGCTGCAATTTCTGCAGGTTTACTGGGGGATGGTGTTGGCCACCAATGTGATCCTCTTGCTTTCTTTAATGAAAATATTCATTGGTATTTTAATTTAATTTATGAATTGGAGTCCAGTCAATATTGAATTTTCTAAGTCTTACATTTTATTTGGTGAAGAATATAAATGCTCATTTTTAAACAAAGAATTGCTAATATCATATTCCATGTATGGAGTGTTCAGTTAGGTCTAGGCCTTGGGGAGAACAAGGGATGGATTTAGAACACATGGCAGCAATTTTGTGACCAACTTGCTATCATCCAGTAAGAGAGAGAAGAGTTGCAGCAAATTAATTGAATACAAAGTAGACTGTATTATATAACTTGAGTGGTTCATGGATTATTTTGAGAACTTAAAGGAAGATCAAACTGTTTCTAGTTGGCAGTCAGGAAAAGCTTTGCAAGTGAGCTAATAATTGAGTTGGACTTTGGAAAATATAGCAAATGTGAACTTAGAAAAAGTCTGAGTAAGGACACTTGAAGGATGATAGATAGATTAAGAAGAAGCACAAAGGGAGGCAAACACAGGTGATGGTTTGAAAATTGGGGTTACAGTAGCCCTCCCTGATCCACAGTTTCACTTTCCACAGTTTCAGTTACCCACAGTAAACTCTGGTCCAGAAATGTTAAACAGAAGTTTTCAGTAATTAACAACTCTTAAGTTTGAAATTGTAGGTCTTCTGGGTAGCATGATAAAACCTGGTGCTGTCCTACTCTGTCCTGCCTGGAATGTGAATTAGCCCTTTGTCCATTGTATTCTGCCCATTAGTTACTTGGTAGCCTTCTCAGTTACCAGATTGACTGTCATGATATCACAGTACTTGTGTTCAAGTAACCCTTGTTTTACTTAATAATGACCTCAATGTGCAAGTGTAGTAATGCTGGCAATTCAAACATGCCAAAGAGAATCCATAACACGTTTTCTTTAAGTGAAGATGTGAAAGCTTTTGACTTAATAAGGAAAGAAAAAAATTATATGCTAAAGTTGATAAGATCTAAGAACAAATCTTCTCTCCATGAACTTGTGAAGAAGAAAAGAGAAATTCTTGCTAGTTTTGCTGTTGCATCTCAAAATGCAAAAGTTACGGCTATGGTGCATGCTAAGTGCTTTGTTAAGATGGAAAAGGCATTACATTTGTACAATAGGGCATTTTGAGAGAGAGAAATAGACCAAATTTGCCTAACTTTTATTACAGTATATTGTTATAATTGTTACATTTTATTATTAGTTATTGTTGTTAATCTCTTAGTGTGCCTAATTTATAAATTAAACTTCATCACAGATATGTATGTGTAGGAAAAAACAGCAAATACAGGGTGTGGTACTCTCCATGGTTTCAGGCATCAACTGGAGGTCTTGGAACATATTCCCTGCAGATGCAGGGGACTACTGTACTTCAGTTTTATTAAAACATAGATGGGTGGTACAACCACTAGGGAGACAGTATAGAGGTTCCTTGAAGAACTGAAAACAGAGCTACCATATGATCGAGCAATCCCACTCCTGGGGATATATCTGGAGAAAACCATAATTTGAAAATATACGTGCATCCTAGTGTTCACTGCAGCACTATTTATAACAGCCAAGACATGGAAGCAACCTAAATGTCCATCAACAGAGGAATGGATGAAGAAGATGTGGTACATATATACAATGGAATATTACTCAGCCATAAAAAAGAACAAAATAATGCCATTTGTAGCAACATAGATGGACCCAGAGATTATCATACTAAGTAAAGTAAGTCAGACAGAGGAAGATAGAAAGACAAATATCATATGATATCATTTATATGTGGAATCTAAAAAGATGATACAAATAAACTTATTTACGAAACAGAAACAGACTCACAGATTTGAAAACAAACTTATGGTTACCAAAGGGGAAACGTGTAGAGGAGGGATAAATTATGAATTGGGGACAAACATATACAGACTTCTATATATAAAACAGATAATCAACAAGGACCTACCATACAGCACAGGGAACCATACTCAGTATTCTGTAACAACCTATATGGGAAAAGAATCTGAAAAAGAATGGATATATGTATACGTTTAACTGAATCACTTTGCTGTACACCTGAAACTAACACAACATTGTAAATCAACTATACCCCAATATAAAATAAAAATTAAATTAAAAAAAAGGAAGGTCTAAAGAGAAATTCTAAGGGAAAAAAGGTTAAATATATACATGAGAGGCAGTACTCAGGAACCAAGTATTTAGAAAGAATAAACTCTAACCCCAAATTTTCTACTCACCCCTGACACTGTGCTTGGTATTACCAATTGGAAATATGTATTTGACAGGAAAGGGAGAACAGCACATGTAGAAGCAGGGAGGATGGGCATGATAGAGTTTGGGCTACCCAAATTTTTCCCCTAGATCAAACTTCTTAATAAAACACAGTAAAGCAGGAATGCCTTTTTAATACTCTTACAGGTAGAAAGAGTATAAAGCAAATTCTGGAATGGTGATTACTTGCAAACCAATGTCAATGGAATTGCTTGGAGTGTTGAGTGTTTATTTTTGAAAGATGCCCAATGAAAGGAAAAATCAGAATGCAATTTCAAGAGGAGAATAGGTTTTGTGAACTCTGTCATCACTTCATTTTGCCTCTATGCAAAGAAAATTTTATCTTATGTTCCAAGTCACAGTACATTTGTCCTCAGATAGTTTTATGCCATAGTCACCACCACCAATTTTCTGTCAAAATGTTTATGTTATCTGTGGGTCTGTTTCAGAAACTGACAAAAATTGTTAGGCTGAAGGAAAGAAATTTCAGTGAGTTTAGTACATGCTTTGGCTTCCTTACCAAATTCAAATGTTGCTTGCAAATTATATGACATTGCAATATTATGCCAGTTACATCATTTAGAAGATCTATTTGAGAATATCAAATTTAATTGTTTTGTTCTTCAGATGTTTGCAGACATTGACTTTGGAGAAGGCTCTGATTGGAGATTTCATTAAACTGGGGAAGTTCACAGGTAAGACAAAATGTTTCCATTTCTCTCTCTTTTTTTCTGACTTTTGTTGCAGAGCCATCCATGTTTATGTTGATTTTCCTATGGGGAGTGATTTATTTCAGGCTAACTTGTGATGAATATCTTTTTCATGATTAAAAGGAGTGCTTTTTAACCTTAGGCTATGGCAGGATATAAAACAGAAATGAAGCCTAAGATTGACTTGTTTGCTTTTTAATCCTTTTTCCCCTCTACAATTTTTTTTTAATAAAAATTCAGTAGTTCTCAAGAATTATAGTTTGGATAAATCAAATTTCTTCGTTCCGAAGCCCAATGTTTAACACTGGCGATGACATGAACTGTTGAATAGACTCAAGGGAGTTGCTTATCTGAGTATCTATTTAATCCTGACTGTGCTTGTTCACTGTTCACATGCTATAACCTTGGGCATATATCTCTTCTTATCAATACAAGGAGGGACTCTTCCATTTGGGAACTTATGGAACAACTAGAAATAATTAATAGCACCCTTTATGTTTGTATATGAGATTGGTCCATGTTCTATTTTGTATAGAATACCTTTAATGGTTTTGTAATCATGATTGTATGTTTCTTATAGAAGAAACCATGTGATGTTATTTGGATAACCTAAAAGCAAATTCTGTTAAATGGGAGATCTTTGTTCATTAAAAAAAAAAAATGTATTAAGTGAAAGGAGCTAGACTCATATCACAGAACAATAACATACGTGTTTCAAAGCACTAATTTAAGCAGAAATGCATATGACAAATTAGTACATATATGAGAATCAACGGAAATGTAGTTCCAGTTTAAAATTTTTATTCCACTTTTCTACATTAATAACAGTGAATAGAGCAGTGTTTCTTATACTTTTGCCACATTCTTTGGATTATCTTTGATTCTGGCCCACGTTATCTATTGTATTGTCTTATTCTGCTGCATTCTAGAGGACTACTACTATGGGTATTACTTACTAATTGCTGAGATCCCTCTGACTCTGATTGTTCAGGGTTCAGTAATTAGCATATGGAGGTATTCTACCTCTGGTGTGTTTCTACTGTCCTGGATCTCTTTGATTCACTTCTGAATTTCCGGTGCAGTTAAGTCTTGATATAAATCTTTTCAAATACACTCTAATGACTGTAAAAGTTCTTTGCTATTGGAGGTTAGAATTTAACATTCCCAGAAAAAACTATCTTCCGAGGGCTCCATTTATGACCCTTCTTTGTCTTTCAAGAACCCTTTTGTCTCTGCTTACTTCCTTACCAGTCATCACCTGAGCTGTGGAAGGCTGCAAGGGAGAAGAGGGCTAGAGTTGCCAGCTTTAGCAAACGAGAACCCCTGGGAGGGGCAGAGACTCTTTCTGGTGGCACCTCTGAGCTATCCGTTAGATACCCAACTGGAGATGTTGAATAAAAATTAGATATCTGGACTTTTTCTTTTTAAGATTTCCAAAACAACAAAACATTTATCTTGAGATTTGAGAATAATGGGAAAATTAAGTAATAGGAATTGGACCCTTATGGGGGTCTTCTGGGAAATCGGAAGCACCACCCTCTTCTGCAGGTCTATGCTTCTCCAGTTTAGCAGTCAATTCTTTCGCTGGATTGAAGACGCCATTGGTCTGCTGGTCACAGACATAGCAGCCCCGGGTGGGGCGGAAATGCTGCAGTGCACAGCTCTCGCAGAAATAATGCCTGCCCTTGGTGACAACCGGGTTTTGGAAGGTCTGTCGACAGATGAAACACTTGAATGGTATTTCCTCCTCATCACTTCCCACTTCATAGTTTTCGTCCTCATAGACACCATTAGTGATCCTCATCAAACTCACGTTCCATCTGCCACCCATGTTTGTAATCTGAATGGTCCTGGAGGAGTTTGCAGCTGTCTCTGAAGCTGCAAAAACCAGTCTCCTTGTAACCCATTGAATTCAGATATTAGATATCTGAATCTGGACATTGGGGAAAATTTCTGGTCAAATTGGGAGCCATTGGAAGATTAAAGGCGTGAAACTAGATTAGAGGACCAAGCGACTGAGTTGAGATAAGGGAACCAAACATTAGCTCTGGACAACAACATAGACAGTTTAAAATATGTGTAACTAAGTTAGTTCATTATGTGTTATAAACCTGTAAAAGTCTGTATATTCATATTGGCCTAAAACCTTATTTTCATTTTATTCTGCTTTGCGAAAATAGAGGATCAACTTAATTTGGATTTGCCTTCAGTACTGAGACGTGTTCTAACATCTTATCAAGATGGTTTCTATACGGGGTGGGACACTGCAGTGAGCCCTTAGCAACCTGAACCGGTGTGATAATGGGCTGGAATACAGCAGGTTTCAACTGTGTACCGGGTTCTTATTCATATTCTATAGGAAAGGGAAGGCTGGCTTTACTAACGGGAACTTTAAGTAATTTTTCTGTTTTTGAAGCACCGAAACCATCTTTCTTATATTATTCATTCAGGAGCTTTTTCTCCTTCTGAAGGGAAATGTCTTGGCAAATGTGAATGTGCTTCCATTTTCTTTCTTGTTAATTCTTTTCACATGATAAATTGCAGGGAACTGTTCTGAAATCCCTTGAAATTGAAAAGTCAGCCTACATGAATGCTTAGGAGCAAAGGTTTTAAACATAATAATTCCATAGATACTCAGCTGAGAGAATTTTCAGAAACAGCTGCAGTAGACTGCTACCTCTTATGGGTACACGTAGATTCATTTGCATACCTTTCAATACTTCTTGCTTAGGTGGTCAATCTGAGTTATCTAAAATGATTGCAAAGCCTCCAAGGATTATTTAAAATATTTGATATTTTTGGAAGTTAAGGTCATTCACTAGGTAACCTTTTCTTTAATATTCAGTAAGTGAAAACAAAGACATATTTTTGGATTTCTCCTCATTTCCAGTGATACAGAAATGAACTATATCTGTTTCCAACCTGGCCTCCATGCCCCTGTGTGCACCAGGTCATAATGGAGGTCCTCAAGTCATTATTTTTTTCATTTAAAAAGGAGTATATATTCATAAAACATTTAAAAGCACTTTCAGGGACTTCCCTGGTGGTGCAGTGGTTGAGACTCCATGCTCCCAATGCAGGGTGTCCAGGTTCAATCCCTGGTCAGAGAACTAGATCCTGCATGCCTCAACTAAAGATCCCTCATGCCGCAATGAAGATCCCACGTTGCCACAACTAAGACCCGGCACGGCCAAATAAATAAATAAATATTTTTTAAAAAAAGACCTGTATGCAGAAAATTATAAGACACTGATGAAAGAAATTAAATATGATACAAATAGATGGAGAGATATACCATGTTCTTGGATTGGAAGAATCAACATTGTGAAAATGACTCTACTGCCCAAAGCAATCTATAGATTCAATGCAATCCCTATCAAACTACCACTGGCATTTTTCACAAAACTAGAACAAAAAATTTCACAATTTGTATGGAAACGCAAAAGACCCTGAATAGCCAAAGCAATCTTGAGAACGAAAAATGGAGCTGGAGGAATCAGACTCCCTGACTTCAGAGTATACTACAAAGCTGTATTAATCAAGACAGTATGGTACTGGCACAAAAACAGAAATATGGATCAATGGAACAGAATAGAAAGCCCAGAGATAAACCCATGCACATATGGTCACCTTATGTTTGATAAAGGAGGCAAGAATATACAGTGGAGAAAAGACAGCCTCTTCAATAAGTGGTGCTGGGAAAACTGGCCAGCTACATGTAAAAGAATGAGATTAGATCACTCCCTAACACCATAGACAAAAATAAACTCAAAATGGATTAAAGATCTAAATGTAAGGCCAGAAACTATCAAGCTCTTAGAGGAAAACATAGGCAGAACACTCCATGACATAAATCACAGCAAGATCCTTTGTGACCCACCTCCTAGAGAAACGGAAATAAAAACAAAAATAAACAAATGGGACCTAATGAAACTTCAAAGCTTTTGCACAGCAAAGGAAACCATAAAGAAGACGAAAAGACAACCCTCAGAATGGGAGAAAATATTTGCAAATGAAGCAACTGACAAAGGATTAATCTCCAAAATTTACAAGCAGCTCACGCAGCTCAGTATCAAAGAAACAAACAACCCAATCCAAAAATGGGCAGAAGACCTAAATAGACATTTCTCCAAAGAAGATATACGGATTGCCAACAAACACATGAAAGAATGCTCAACATCATTAATGATTAGAGAAATGCAAATCAAAACTACAATGAGATATCATCTCACACCAGTCACAATAGCCATCATCAAAAAATCTAGAAACAATAAATGCTGGAGAGGGTGTGGAGAAAAGGGAACCTTCTTGCACTGTTGATGGGGATGTAAATTGATGCAGCCACTATGGAGAACAGTATGGAGGTTCCTTAAAAAACTACAAATAGAACTACCATACGACCCAGCAATCCCACTACTGGGCATATGCCCTGAGAAAACCATAATTCAAAAAGAGTCATGTACCAAAATGTTCATTGCAGCTCTAATTACAATAGCCAGGACATGGAAGCAACCTAAGTGTCCATCATCGGATGAATGGATAAAGAAGATGTGGCACATATATACAATGGAATATTACTCAGCCATAAAAAGAAATGAAATTGAGTTATTTGTAGTGAGGTGGATGGACCTAGAGTCTTTCATAGAAAGTGAAGTAAGTCAGAAAGAGAAAAACAAATACCTATGCTAACACATATATATGGAATCTAAGGAAAAAAAAAAGGTCATGAAGAACATAGGGGTAAGGCAGGAATAAAGACACAGACCTACTAGAGCATGGACTTGAGGATATGGTGAGGGGGAAGGGTAAGCTGGGACAAAATGAGAGAGTGGCATGGACGTATATACACTACCAAACGTAAAATAGATAGCTAGTGGGAAGCAGCCGCATGGCACAGCTCGGTGCTTTGTGACCACCTAGAGGGGTGGGATAGGGAGGGTGGGAGGGACGGAGACGCAAGAGGGAAGAGATATGGGGACATATGTATATGTATAACTGATTCACTTTGTTATAAAGCAGAAACTAACACACCATTGTAAAGCAATTGTACTCCAATAAAGACGTTAAAAAAAAAAAGCACTTTCAAATTATTTAAGCATTTTGGACCTTTCATTAATTCACAGTAAATTTTCATGGGATAATTTAAAATATCAAAATAATTTTGAGTTATCAGAAATCCAAGTATTGAATTTACATGTTTGCATGCGCATACTACAAATAAAAACCAAAATCAAATAAACTTACACTACTGAATGTATGTTGGGGAAAAGAATAGTCACACAATCTCAAATAATTGCCCCCCGCCAAATTATTAATTATGATGAGAGAAAGCTTCTTTTACAATGAAGAGATCTGGTTGATACTGAATTAACTGAGGGATAAAACTACATATTACTAATAATGGGCAAAATGCCATTGTGTTCCTTGTGATGAAATACTTTGGGAAGCATCCTTGCTGAAAATGCTTAAAATCTAAACAATGGAACATCAGACAAGTCTACATGTGGACACAACACACATGGCTTGTCTCTTTAAAAAATGTCAGTGATGTGAAAGAAAAAAAAAGAGAGGGGTATTCTAGATTAAAAGAAACTAAAGAAATACCAAAGGGTCATTTATAATCCTTTATAATATTAGACTCTAGATAGAAACATTTGAATATAAATTGCCTATTGAATATCATTGTATCAATGTTAGACATCTGGTTGTGATTATAGTATTTTGGTTATGTAAGAAAATACCTTTGTTCCTTGGAGATACATTTAGGGGAGAAATGGAAAAATATCTACAACTTACTTTCACAAATTTATAAATGAATACAAACCCCCATGCAGGTAGAGAGGGATAGATGAAGAATATGTGGGAAAATGTTAACAATTCGTGAATCTAACAATATTGGTGAAGGGTACATGAGTATTCATTGTCCTATTCTTTCAAATTTATTGTAAGTTTTAGATCATTCAAAAAAAGTTGAGAAAATAAATTATATACATGAGAAAGGAAAATAAATAGAATTGAAAAATATACCTCTCAATATAAATGAATCTAATTTAAGGAAATCACTTTTTAATAGATATAGTAATTATTGTTGTGATGTTTCTAATAAAAGCTTATTTTAATATAGTGCTTACACTTTACCAAACACCCTTTTGGGGATCATTTAATGCTCAGAAACTCCAGTGGTGTCATGCTAAATGATCATTGCTATTATCACTTTTTAGAGATGGAGAAACTTGATTCTGTAAATTTAAATTCCTTGCCCAAGATTTTACAGATTAAAAAAACAGGAAACTGTAACTCACACCCAGGTCACTCAATTCTAAGTATTTTCTGTGTTTTACTCACTAGATTCTTGTGTGTATACATTTATGAGTTTGTGTTTTTTCAATAATTAAAAACCTTTGAAAATTACATGATTCGTTGTTAATTTTAGTGGGTACGCTGTAGGACTAATGAAACACATAATGTAAACTCAGTTTCTGTATGAGGGAGAAATATCCAGCGTTTCCCATTACTCTGCTGCAAATGAATGGAATTGGAATCACAGAGCCAGATCACAAAGGATTTTTGCTTCAAGAAAATGTCGTCTTTGCAATTTGTGTGTGCTCTTTTAATAGTGACTTACATCTGCTCTTTTTATTTACACATTATGCCCTGGTGACAGTTATAACTTTAATTCAAATACCTAAATTGTTATAGTTCTTGAGAATTTCACATTTTTTAAAATTGAGAAACATTACTCCAAATTCAATAAGAAAACCTTATTTAAGTGTTGAAACTTGCAAAGAAATGTCTATTTCCTCCATACACTCTGCAAGTCAAATGGTTCCCAGGAACAAGTTCCTGTGATTGTTTTTTATGACAATGTGTTTTGTAGTTTCTTTAATGATTAGATGATAGA